GAGTTTACTGGTCATAATTATTTATTAAACAAATAAACCACATTTTTTAACCCCCCAAAATAGACGTTCAAAGCAACACAGCGGCGGCCCAATATCAGACAGAACTCCACTCTGTCGAGTGAGCAATCATAATGAAGCAGTTGGTTTTATTTTGTGGATTCAAGCTGCTCTTCATATTTTTGGCCACCAGATGTCACCAGAGAGGACTGTGTTGAAAAGCTTCGAGTAATGAACCGTTTTTCAATACAAGCTTCAGAAAGCTTCATTTGGCTATCACTACCACCTGGTAAGCTGCTGTCTCTGCCAAGGACCAAAGCAGAGTGAAGCCGCTCCTCCGAGAACACGATTGGCTGCAATCCCTACAACACCTGAACAGGAAACTGAGGCTACAGTTCCCAGACTCACCAAAATTGGACCACAAAATGAAAAAATGTTTTCCGATCTGATCATGATTTCTGCAGCAAAATTTAAATGTTTGGTGTAAAGATGAAAGCATGGATCCACCCTGCCTGCGCCAGTGCTCAGACTGCTGCTGATGTGATGGTATAGGGCAGATTTCCAGTACCAGCTGAACATCATTGAACTCCACAGCCTACCTGAGTGTTATTGCTGACCACGTCTGTGGGTTTATGACCACAGTATATCATTTTCTGATGCTGCTTTCAGCACGATCACACAGCTCATCTCAAACTGGTTTTTTGAATATGACAGTGAGGTCAGTGCACTCAGCCTCCACAGCCACAGTCCTGTGATTGTTCAGCACTCTAACAGGTTCTAAATGCAGTCTCCATAGCATGTTCTTCTATTTCATCTTCAGATTTGTTGAAATGTAGGTACTAACTGTTGCAGACATGTCCACACTGTCTCCCCTTTATTTATTTTCAGCGTCTGCATCCTGTCAGCTGATCATTACCTATAAACATTAAATCAAAAGGTCAAATCTGAGCTTCATCATTTGTCTCGCACTACTGAGCTTCATCTGAAAATGAAAGCTAGATAAATGTCTGATTAAAGCTGGTCTCTCTTCTGATGTTTGTAGATCAACATCATGTTCATGGATTTAAATGGGAGCTCCGCTCTTTACTTACCTGTTGCTATAGAGAATTGTTGCATAAGAGCTGCACTGATATTAATCACGTATGTGCTTAATATCAGTGCAGCTGTCTGATTTGAACCTACTTCCTGGATGAAGACTCTGCTCGTACACTCAATGTGACTTCAACTAATCACATGTAATTTTTAGCTTTAGCTACATAAGTCTGCACGTTGAATTTAATGGACAAAATGTATTTGATTGGTAGACATTACCTTTGACACATTGCAGCTGCATTTTAATCTGAATTATTACTTCACGTTCATCGAGGGCAGAAAAATAATTTTGAAGCTGGAGCAGCACATCCAATAAAAGCTCGTCAGTCAAAGGAGGAGGAGTTTTATTCTACACACTGAAACACAGCAAAGTCATTTTTTCACAGATGAAACAGAAAGTAAATGTTTATTAGAGCTGCTTTCATCTGATTCCTCTTCTGTCACTGACTGAGGTCAAGGTCTGTTTGATTTTGGCAGCTGAACTTAAATCACCATGACCAGGTGAGACGCCAGGTGAGAGTCAAAGTCCATTTAGAAGAGTTGTCATTTTACCTCCTAAGGCTGGAGATGCTGTCAGGGCCCAGCTACTCTTTACCTTTGTTTTAGATTTCAACCCGAGACATGCGGGGGCATCAGGGGAGTGTGCGAGGTGGTTTTGCAGCAGAGATCAAACATTTTCTGTGTCGCTGACTTTAACAGGGGATAAAAAAAACAGAAACGCCAAAGGAACAAACCAGCCAATCAATGCCGGCTTCAAGAGGTGGATGGACACACTCCCTAAACACAATTTGATGTTGATGTGCCGGACACAGTCGCGGGGGGTGGACTCAGCGGGAATTGTCTGGGTTTTCCCGCTGGCCTGTTTCTGTGTCACTGTGCCGTGAATTCGTGCGTCCATGGGAACGCGTCCGTCTGCTTCCTGTGCTTGCTGGCAGAATCGCGCGAGTCGTGCTCGCTGTCTCCACAGCGGTGTTTCTTGAGCTGGCGTGAGTCGGAGAAGCCCCGCCCACAGCGTTCGCACGAGTACAGCTTGACACCGGTGTGGATCTGCATGTGAGACTTCAGCTGGTTGGACTGGCGGAACTTCCGGCCACACACAGCGCACTCGTACGGCTTCTCGCCGGTGTGCACCAGCAGGTGGCGGTGGTAGTTCTGAGGCGTCCTGAACTCTTTGCCGCAGTGCTCGCAGCGGTGAGGTTTGACACCTGTGTGCAGAAGCTCGTGCTGCTTCAGCTGCGATGCCAGCAGGAAGCCTTTGTGACAGACAGCGCAGACGTGTGGCCGGTCGCCGCTGTGCTGCCTCAGGTGGTACAGGTACAGGTGACGCAGGTGGAAGGCTTTCCCACATGTGTCGCAGGTGAACTCTTTGTTTTGGGCGTGGCTCTTCTCGTGCGTGCGCAGCGAGCTGCTGCTGCTGAAGCTCTTTGGACAGACTTTACAGCTGAACGGTTTGACTCCGGTGGACCGCCGCCTGCCCGCCTCCCCGCCGGACTTTCCCCGATCGCCACCGCTGCCGTGAACCAGCTGCTGGTGCTTCTGCAGCTGGCAGTTGTAGAAGAACGTCTTTCCGCACAGGTCGCACATGAACGGCTTTGCCACGCCGTGAACAAGCATGTGAGTCTTCAGAGCCCAGGTCCCCGTGAAGCCTTCGCCACACTGATCACACCTGAGGAAGGAAGGACAGGTGAGGAAGGGTCAGAGGTTAAAGAAGACGCAACTCACAGAAATCAACATGATCTTGATGTTTTGAGTGATCAGCACACAACACAAAGCAGTGTTCACCGAGTGCTCAGGGCCGTCTGTAGTGCTGTAGGGCTTTTACTGTGCAGTGTTAATCACTGCGAAGTTGGCCCATATAAATAAACCTGAACTGAACCGAATGAACAGGAAAGCTGACGCTGGTATTTCTCGTGTCTGCCTGCAGCGCCGTGCCGCGCTCTGTTGGCGGTTCACTGGTGGATGTCAGCAAACAACCCCCCCTCTGCTTCATGTTTGACGTTACATTGAAGCACTCATAAAATCCACGATCACCTTATTTAATCAGTTCACCTGCAGTCGCATAAGTCTAGTCTTCCTGCTAAGGACCGCGCTGATGCTGTTCACCTGTACACCTCACTCAGGTGCGTTAAGAGACACAGGCGAGCGTTTCGCCCGAGGGTCAGAGTGCGCCCTGGAGCAGCGCGTGTATGTGACCCTGGATCGTTCAGGTGTGTTTTTTTGTCAGATGTTGTGTGTTGAGCCAATAAAAAGCAGAGATTTCTGTCAAATACCGAAACAGACTCGCTGAGACCCAGAAAATATACGTTATCGTTCGGGGCCTCGTACCTGAAGGGCTTCTCCCCGCTGTGGAGCCTCAGGTGTCTCTGGAAGTTGTATTTGAGGCCGAAGCTCAGGCCACAGGTGGGACAAGTAAAGGGTTTCTCTCCCGAGTGGACCACACGGTGCTGCAGCAGCCCCATCCGGCACTTGAATGCCTTGTCGCACTCGTCGCACTTGTACGGGCGTTCCTCGGAGTGCGACCTTTTGTGCACGCGCAGGTTGCTGGCGGTGGAGAAGCTCTTGGCGCAGGTCTGGCAGGAGTACGGCCGTGCCCCGGTGTGCACGGTCTGGTGCTCCCGCAGGCTCTTCTTGCGCGTAAAGCTCTTTCCGCAGACGTCGCACATGAAGGGCTTGACTTTGGAGTGCGACACCTCGTGGTATCGCAGTGCCCCACTGGAGGTAAAGGTGCGGTCACATGCGTAGCACTTGAGTGGCGTTTTCTCAAGCCGGTGACAGGCCTGGTGCGCTCGAAGCTGACGTGGCAGCCTGAACTTCCTGTCGCATTGGTCACAGCGCAACAGCTTGTCTGGGTCGCTCTCCTGCGCCTCGCGGAGACGGTGGGCGAGCAGGTGGCGCTGCAGCGTCTGCGCTTTGTAGAAACCTTTGTCGCAGGAGCTGCAGGGGAACGGCTTCAGGTGGCACGCGGCGTGCTTCAGCAGCTGGTGCTTCTGATGGAAGCCTTTGTCACACAGCTCGCAGAAAAACCTCTTCTCCTTGTACAGCTCCCTCCTCCGCCTCCTCTCCTGCTCCTTCTGCTGTTCCTCGCTCACACCTGAACAGTAAGACAGACAGGAAGTCAGAGACGCTGCAGGTTTGACAAACAGAAGCGACTGATTAATGGACCATCAGCTGTTCTGAAGGACGACATCATCAAGATCCTCACGTACTAGGTCTTGAATAATCAGGCCCCATCTCATCTTAATGTAGCGTATCACGCCATTAGAGCACATCGCTCTCACACCACAGGCTCACCTGTGGTTCGCACAGTATTTAAAAGTAGATGGGAGGCAGAGCTCTCACCTGTCGGACCCCCGGGCACCTGCTGATCATCATGTTTCTGTTCTGCAGGTTCAGACTTCGTCTCTGCTGCCTGGAAAACGCAATGGTATTATTGGTCACCACATACAGAACCATCAACCAGTCAATCAACCAGTTTGAAGCAGCTGTCATCACTCACAGCGTCACACTGCTCTTCGTGGGTTTCATCACCTGGAAGCTCAGCGGCCGGCTGATCCTCACAGTCAGGAAGTGATGTCACATCTGCAGGCTGGATCATATCACGTGACACCTGAGGATCTGCAGAGAAGTGCGTCATGTCCAAAACACTCACAGCACCATTCTGCAGTGCGGTCAGATTGTTTTGGCCTGTGACTGGTGCGTGCACCGGCGGGCTGAGGATGACCACAGCCACAGCAGCAGTGGCAGCAGCTGATTGGACATCCAGAGACAGGGTGGGTGCATCTGCAGGAGAAACCAAATGAGTTTCCTGTGAGACTTTAACCCGGGCTTTTGAGCTGAATGACTGTTCGACCTTTGACCCTGGGTCTCACCTGCCGGGCTGAACTTCACCGCCGATTTGGCCATCCTCGAAGCGCCGGGTGTGTTTTCGAGGCAACTCAGTTCTGCCCTGAGAGCTTCATTTTCCACCTCTACGCTTGCATACAGCTCCCTGAAGACTCTGCAGATTTTACGGACTGCCTCTCTGGCCACGCCCCCCAGCACGATGGACAGGTGAGCCTGCAGCACAGACGCATGGGTGACATGATAGATGCACAGGTGGAACAGGTAAAACATCTGATCTGAGGACCCGAGCGTAACTGATTTCTGATTACACAACCTGTAGACAGGCCCCGCCCACGTCCACCTGAGGAGTTCACCCTCAAGTCACAACATGCTGACTCTCTTGGAGACTGACTGATGCTCACAGCGAGTGTTCTCCATGACATGCAGCATGTTTTCAGTGCGAATGCCTGACTGACTGTCGGCCTGTGGCACGAACACCGACAGTGCTGAGACAAACACCGAAACCATCCAGCCTGACTTGGAACCGCTTCACCGAGGACGCCGTTTCCACAGCTCTTCACAATCACCTGCACGCTCAGTCACGTGACGATGTCATTCACAGATTTTCTCTGCTTTTATTTATCTTTTTATTCCGTGGACAGTTGGTGCATGCACAATGACAACAAAAGGCATTTCCAGGCCTTCCTAAACACAGGTTCCCCCCAAAGCTGTGTGCTGAGCCCAGTGACTGCAGCCGCAGCTGTTTACAGCTTGGCCTCATTTCTAATGAGGGTGGTTAGCAGGCTGCACCTTTAAGGTTTAGGTGCTGCTGTTTTCTCCTCTGTTGATGCTGGTTAACCTTAAGCTTCTGTTTAGGTTAAGTAGAGGATGATGACGTCATACCACCTGCGGCAGGTGAAGATGAGGCTGCGAACAGATCTGTTTACGTAAACTTTGGTCATGTGAGCAGTTACAGCTAAACCATGCGCGCGCACCACACTTCTGGACAAACCTGAAGGCATGCGCACTTCAGAGCTGCATATACCTGTGTCAAAGATCAAACACCTGCCTCCAGGCGTCTCCTGCGTGTCAGTGGGCGGGGCCAAAACGTTTTTTTTTTTACCTTTCATCCCTTCTGTAGCATGTTTTTAACGCGAAACCGGAAGTGACGGCGGATTTTGCTCTCACATAATCTTCACCTGAGCTCCTCACCTGGCCGTGCTCCGCTCGCGCGCCCTCCCTCCCCAACTCGTGCACAGCGCTCCCCACGGCTACCTCCATGATCAGCTCCACCTGCGAAGAGAACGTGCTCAGGGCTGCCATGTTGTCTTTGTCCCGTGCCGGTCCGCGCGCACACGTTTTCGGAGGACGAACCGACCGAGGAGGGTTCGGGTCAGCCGGCCCGGGTCAGAGGTCAGACGAATACGCTCTCCGCGGGATGATTCCCCGCTCTCTTTGCTACCAACATGGCGGTCTGACGCGATGGTTACTTCCGGGTCAGAAGGCGAATCTCTCTTCTTCTCCTTCGTGGTAGACCGCCACCTGCTGGAGGAAAGGTGAAGCGCTCAACAAATTAACTGAGCGTGCGCACCCAGAGCGTCTGCGGAGACGTCACCAGAAAAATGAGAAAATGAAAAAAAAAATCATTTCCAATTCATCCTGACATAAAAGACGTACATTTTAAAACGTCAGGTGGAATTTATCCAAAAAACGATGTTATCATACTGAATGTATTTATGAACATCAGTCCAACAATGATTAAAGAAACATGTCCACAAGGTTGAGCCTGAAAGATTATAAAAAAGAAAAAACTGTTACAGTGTAACAAAGGTCAACACAAAGTGCGAAGAGAAAAAGTCCTTTACTGTATGTCAAAAGAAGAAAAGTAGAAAGAGCAGTCGGGAGTTTTTCATTCAGCCATCTTTTCATACACAGTTAAGCTTCACAGCATCTACATTTATGGATAAAAAGATATCCCTCATAACAGCACTGTCCTGAAAACAGAATGCAGATTTTATTGTCAATAACTATCCCGACGATTGAGTCGCCCTGGACTGCATGCAGCGCCACGTGCCGTTCCAAAAAGCTTGAACCCATTCACAGTGAAAAAACACGTGATGCAGGCTTTCAGTGTCGTTTTCACAGAATACACGTATTCAGATTAAATTTCAATCTTATAAAAATCGTATTTATTATTTTGATGTTTACTTTTTTTACTTTAGGTGAAAGGGGAAGAGAAATATATTTTCTTTGTATAACCCTAATCTTCTCGTTCTTAAATTCTTTAAGAATATAACAGGGTTAGGACAAAATAGCTCTGATCGCCTTGTTTGTGTCACAAAAGTCAATTCCTGCTCTGCGGAGCTGTGTCAGTCCAGAGGAGACCTTAGAGAGCACAATATCTTCTTTATCTTTGATCTCAAAGGGACACTTTTATAGTTCCGTCAGCGTATCTGATGTTGAACTTCTTACAGGTAACAAATCACATCCTCCTCATCTGTATAATGGATCTCCATTCATCCACAGACTATTTACCCAGTCGATGTACCTGTTGTTGTACTGTGAGGAGTAAAGTTATGTTTGTATATTCATTTCCATTAAAGAGGCACCTGCTTATGGAAATCTGAGAGTTTAACTGGTAATGAGCTGCAGTCTAAATCACAGTGAAGCGAAATGAGTGAATGTGGCAAATGCTGAAAAACAAAACCTGTCTCCCCATTGGTCAGTCCAAAATGGGACATCCTGATGTGTCGCTCAAACCTGAATGTTTAATGAGCCGAACAACATTGTTACACCCCGGCCTAGGCAACCGGCGTGCAACGTATGAAAATAAAAATAAGAAAAAAAAACCCCCGTGGAAAAAAACTAAAGCTTTCCACCAAAATCCCAAAACGAAGGTATCTCAAACAAAAATATTAACAAACCCATTCACAGCTATTTACAACAGACTATTTATTTACAACAAAACACCAAACTATTTACAACACGGGGGAGATCGCGACCATGACCAACTGACACACAGGGCTTAAATACATAGAAGGAGCAATCAGGGAATGGACCACAGGAGGGAAACACAGCTGGGGCAAATTAGACCTGACGAGACAAGGAAACGTAAACTGAACACACTAAGATAACAACAGACCTTCAAAGTAAAACAGGAAACACATGACAGTCACGCAAAAACAAAACACTGACAACACCGAAACGTAACAACATTTTTAAGTTTAACATAGGAGTTAAGTACCGAAAAACCTAGGACTAGCTCAGTGACAGGTGACGTTTAATAGAGCTCTATTGGCCCAGTAATAATTTTTTTAAACAAAATTGTTCATCTGTCATCACCTCAGATCGTCTCCAACCGTTTCCCAGCTCGCCTCGCTTGTTCAGTGTGAGGCCACAGCCTCCTCCCAGTCCTCCCACAGCAGCACGTCTGCAAAGTGGAACCTGCCGCTCTTACCGACAGCTGAGTCGACGCTAAATCTCTTCTTTCACATGTCTCCAGAATAATGATATGTTTCTGTGCAACACATCCATAGCTTCCTCCATCTTTGCCCCCATATCAGGTGCGATTTTGGAAAGTATTCAAAGGAAGAGGTTATCAAATGAAAAATGAGAAAGGGAGATTAAGAAAGTAGGCAGGAGTACTAAGAGGCTAGGTGTGCAGATAAGAGAGATTTCAAAGGAGAACTAAAAGGCTTAAAGTGAGCTGTATGTGAGGCTGGACACCAACGAGATGAGAACTTGTATCGATTGGCAGAGACAGAGCTGACAGGATGTGGAGAATGGATGAGTTCAGGCAGAAGGGAGGAAGAAGACCTCAGAGAGGGTTCATGGATGTAGTGAAAGAGAACATGCAGAGGGTTGGTGAGAAAGATGAGGATGATCCATTGTGGCAACCTGTAAAGGGAGCAGCTGAGAGAAAAAGAGGAAGCACTCTAATTCCTGGACATGATTTAATAATCACCTTTTTATTGCTGATGCTGCATTTTTTCTTATTTGCATTTAAGGTGAGCTGGTGTTGTGGTGCTGGAACCAGGCGACCGCCCCAACAGAGTAATAAAATTCTGCTGGATTCCAGAGGGAGATATATTTCTGTCTGTAACACGCTGGACGTATTCTTGCTAAGTTTATTTAAAATCAGAATCACAGTTTAAGTCTGAAAACAGACAGTCACTAACGTTTTACTCAGCATTCTTTGCTTTGACCCAGTAAAACCATGAATCTGAATCCACAGTGCTAAACTATTTGACTCCAGTTTAATGATAAAAATGGCAAAAGTGTGTTCATTAAAAATCTGATTTATTTTCATCACAGTGTCACAACAGTCAATAAAAATAAACACAGACTCTGAACTCGTTCACCTGGACCCTGATCCAGGAAGCGGCTTCAGCAAACCCTGAACTTCCTGTTCCAGAAGATTCGAGCTGGTCCAATCAGCTCTGAGTATGTTCAGCCTGACAGACCAGGGCAAAGAGTCAACAAAGAGCACTCTGTCATCGTCACAGACTGAATAAAGTTTGATTTAGATCAGCTGAATCCTGATATGACCTTTGACCTTAAATCCAACAATCGGAGCAAGTTTGCCCACAGCATCTGTTATAGAGCTGTCTGCATGCCGCTCAGACACGGTTCAAACATTTCAGGAGGAGACGTTTAAATCGGGAACACAGTTCCAAAACAGAGCCGAACCTCGGTCTGATCCGCTCTGAATCTGTGCTCCTGATCCAATTTGGATCCATCCTGCAGAGTGAGTGCTGTGGACTCCCTGCTGTCTGGCATACCCACTGAGAATGTGTTAAGGTCAGAGGTTACAGTGAAAAATAAGTGTTTGTACGAACTTCACTCTGATCTCTGACAGCTATTCTACGAAATGGAAGGTCAGTTAAATGGTTGGGCTGCAGGACTCAGGGCGGAGTCAGAGAGAACACCTGCCAGTGAAAAGGTGAAGTTCACAGAGTCTGTTGCCACAGTAACGGACTCAGAGTTTAACTGAAGCTGCTTTCTGGAGCAGGACCCTGATTCAGTGCCAGCACTCCGCTCAGTCACAGGGACACCTGCCCACAGGTGAAGTACACGAATGAGAGTGAAACAGCGCCATCATGTGGACAAAATGACCTGATTTTTATGTGACTGACCTTTACATCATCATCCCGAGCCTTAAGCCAGGTGTCGTTTGAAGAATAAAATATTTTAGTTTTTCGTGTTGCATGGAGGAGTCATGTGACACTCTCAGGTCATGTGACTGTTCCCTCAACATGACATTACATGTATGTAATTACCTTACATACAGTACCGTCATCTTTCAGTGATACAGTAATGATGTACTGATTACATGTTGGGCCCTCTCTCTGACCGGCCTGTGCTACGGCTGCTCACGCTCTGGCACAGAGGAAAGGAGGAAGACAAACTGAGCAAGCTCAGGAAGTCTTTGTGGGAATGGACATCATCATCATCATCATCACGTTGTTACCTGGCTGCACAGCTGCGTTCAGCATCATGGGATCGCAGTAGAATCTGTCCTGCACTCTGCTGTGGTTCTGCTGTGTAACGTTCAGTGACACCGAGCGCGGTGGGAACAATGATTTAAACATTTCTCTGACAGTCTGAGGGAACGATCAGTCTTATGTTTCACAGACACTGATCCTGTTCATTGATTAATCTTAAAATTTCTCAGGACAAGTTAATAAAGTTTTATTTTAATATCGACTTTTACAAACTGAAGTGCACTTGGTTGATTACAGGAACAAAAAGCATCAAATCGTTAACAAGGACGCTATAGATGACATGATCACACTCTGTGTTGATCACAGCGAGTGTGAGAGTTTGTGTGCATATCCAAATATGAAATCTCCCCATGGCTTCGAGAACATCTGTGGACAAGATGGTCAACGTCTGTGGCAGACAGGAAGTCACGTGACCTCAGAATTGGAAGACACGTGCGGTCGTTTACACGTGGCCGAGTAGGCGGGGCGTGCACGATGAGGAGGAACGGGCCTCATAATTCCTGTCAAACTTTGATGTTTGTAGAATCAGCTGAGGTGGAGACGTCACATGACTCGATTATAACCCCGGCTGCGATGCTCCTCTGTTACACAAGAGCTGCCGGGTGCTGCTGATGTCACATGATTTCCTGTCCTCCATCTTGTCTGTAGTCAGATGCCACGTGGCTTGAGGCTGATTTACATTTATCTGATATCCCATAATGCTTTGCTTCAGTGCTTTGATTTGACATCATGATAATCAATCAGCTCATTCACCAATGATCAATAAACTGCATTCATCAAGTGAAAGCTTTCTGCAGACCGTCATCATCATCTACTGCCCCCAAAGGAGTGACCTTTGACCCTGACAAAGCTGTCTCTCCCTGTTGTTGATGACAGTCGGGGCAGCTGATGAGAGCAGACGAACAAACAACCTGTCAAAATATTCTCTTTTCAAAATAGCTTTTCGCATCTGAATAAAAGTGTTTTCCATATAAAACACGGTCACGTCATTCTTTCACACACAGATGAGCAAGCCTTTAATTTTTTAAATATAAAAACACGATTAAGCAACATTTTCAGCCTTTTTGTTACTTTATAAATGACTTTTTTCTGCTACACAACTGTCAGACTTAAAAAAAACCATCAGTCTTTTACAGATAGAAAAATAACGAGTAGAAAGACGACAGAAAGCTCTGCTACACCCAAATGACCACGCCCTTCTAGACTCTGATTGGATGGCAGGAGAACACCCGCATGAGTGTGTGTGTGAGAGTTCGTGTGTGTGTGTGGGGGGGGGGAGCTGCTTATCAGGTAACCTCAGGGGCAACTTCCTGCTTAACCCATGCAAGGAAACAGATTGGCTAATCAATATCTAGATCACTGGGAAACCACACCCCTTTTCTCTGTGAAGACGCTGATTTGGACAGTGCCTTTTCCTGGAGGTGAAACTTCCTTCCTAGAGGGCTCTGTGTGAACATTACTGCCCTCTGCACAGATTGACCGATTTCTCTGATTATTCTTCTGATGGTGAACGGACCTGCACACATCAGGACATCTGCAGCTTTACTGTGGTATGTTCTTTCTTTAAATGACAAACATACCACACGGAGGAGCAGGTCCACCTGTTAGTTTTTGTATGTAACTGAAGAACGTTTGCTCTTTCATGACTATTAGATTCAGTATAACTTGAATTCATGTAAAAAAGTAAGATGCTCAGAAGGGAAGAAAGAAGTTTAGTCAGATGACTTTCAGCAGTGGCTCTGCTCTTGCTCTCGTGAAACAAGGAAGGAAAAGCATCTTTCATCACATTCAAGCATTCAGTGCACGGTGGAACCTCATCATGATCATCATTGCTGTGTTTCTCCGTTTTACACAACACTGTTCTGGGTGTTTCATGGCGCGAGTATTTGTCTTTCAGATGGCGGTGTCCCAGAACACGGTGGCAGCATGGCCAGCGGCAGTGGGCGAGGCCGAGTATGGCGGTGGCTGCTTCCTCTTCCAGCTGGGCAAGATGGGCATACTGTCCTGTTTGCACAGATTCTTATCTGGCCGCTGACGAGCTTTGATCTCTCGACATAAAACTCTCTTTTTCTCAATCATCTCCATCATGGTGGCGTCGCCACATAGCCATGGCATCTGGACACAAAGAACAGCTCGACATCAACAGACCCATACCTCCCTTCTCACTGCAAACTACACTGAGACACACAACGTTACTGTGATGTTTCACACAACTGCTGGCTGTGGACGCCCTGCAGGTTCACCGTCACATTCCTATTCCTAACCTGCTTTCTTTGACCTAGATAAAAATGTCACTGAGGTCAAGGAAAAGAGATGATGCTGAGGACAGGAATGACCTCACGTTTGTTTTTCCTCCATGGTGTGACATTGGATGTCTGAAGTGCTCACACTACAGTTTGCAGAAGATGGACTACAAAACCTCCGTCTAACTTCCCTACAACATTGTTTTCTGGAGGTAATTTATACCAGAAAAGTCAGTGAAATATAAGGTTTAATTTCAACCTTATATTTCACTGACTTTTCTGTGAAATATAATATAACATCCAGGGTTAGATTTACTAATGTCTGTAGCAGCACAAGGCCGTCTTTTGATGTTATAAATGTGCTGGTCAGTTTTAAAGTCTTAAATAATCAGGCCCCATCTTATCTTAATGACCTTGTAGTACCATATCACCCTATTAGAGCACTTCGCTCTTGCTCTGCAGGCCTACTTGTT